GAATCAGGGAATAAAAAAAAATAAACAAAACAGATTACACAAGGAATGAAAAAATAAATAAACAAATTAATAAAAAGGTGGTAGATAAGATTTACAGTATTACATACTGTAGGTGTATTTAAATTTAATTATTACCTTCAAAAAAATCAAATTTTTGAAAAAAATAAACAAAACAAATAAATAAGAGAATATATTAATGATAGTATTAAATATATTCTGATGGCATTACACGTGTAAAATAGATAATTAAAATTAATAATTACCATCTTTGGACGTGTAATTCTCTAGTATATTATTCTCAAATCCTACATTCATGAAATCAATTTATCCAAGCAAATTGGCACATTTCTGTTGAAAGAATGTTTGAAAATCGAAGAAAAGATGCCTGTAACTTCATTAATGGACATATTTTAATTATCAAAAATGCTTTAAAAATAATAATTGAAATTAGAGGTAAGCAATTTACTGAATGTAATGTTCCTTCCCGAAAGTAATTTACTCAATCACAAAGAAGAAAGTGATCCTTCTACCAATGGATCGATTCTGTTGATTCTGGTTGACTTACAATTGGACATGGATTAATTTTAAATCTATCATTCGCTTGTATTGATGTTAGTCTAATTTGACAGTGTTTGATTTTTACTTATTTATTACTGATTTGTAAACCATTCTTTAAACCAAAGAAGGATATCAAATATATAATAGCGTGATCATAATTGAATATGATATTACAGTAGTTAGTAGTGAGACAATTATCCAGTTTGTGTAATAGTAATAGTAAAAGTAACAACCTTATTAATGGCGAGGGATATGAAGTTAATCTGAGTTATTGAGTAGTGAATATTAATGAATTATAAAATAATAATGATAAATTTGAAAGGAATGATAGAAGTGGTCTCGGTAAAGGAAATGGAATTAGATCACGATAAATAATTATTATGTATTAATGATTGATTCATTAATAATTATAACAATAATAATGGACGTAATTTCCGACCTATAATTAAACTTTTTTATTTGACTTATTTTAGGGTTTATTATCAATATTTCTTTCCAATAATCAACAGATAATGAATTCAAATAATGATAATTCAATGGAAATTTTTTTTGATTAAATATTGAATTATTTTTTTTTATTTTATATTTATTTTTCAGTGGGGAAATTGAAAACATTTTCTGCATTTATCACTTTCAAAAACATTTTTTTTTAATTCGCAAATTATTTAATTATTTTTTTATTGGAATTTTCAAACTAATAATATTGTAAATAAACATTAGAATAAATTCATCAAAGGTGATTTTTGGAAACAAAACTTTCGACAAAAAACTTTTCTTTTATATTTGCCAAGAAAATTATTTATCGTTTCAAAAATATTTTTAATGGATAAAAGATTTCTAATTCGCACATTTCTTTATTTAAAAACTTTATGCGCGAATTATCTCCACAGTTTTCGCTTGAACGATTTTTTGATGCAAGAGAAAATGAAAAAATAAATATGATAATTTATAATCAATATTACAAGCTATCAATATTAGAAAATTCCGAAAATTGTTAAATATCGGTCGTGTAGAATTACAACTCCAATTGATAAAGATAATTAAAGAATATCAAGCATAACTACTATCTCCAAAGTTCAAGAAACATTCCAATATGATAAAAATTTACTTAATAGATTTTTTTAATTAAAAAAAAAAAATAATCTTTCCTTTCATAACTTACTTGCATAATATAAGCGAACTGAATATGGATATATGCTCAGAATGCAAAAAAAAAAAAGTATACGAACTAGTGCAAATCGTGCAATTCAACACGTTTCAAAAATGATTTTGATAAATGAACATGAGGAAAACACAATTAATAAATTTATTCAAGATAATCTGGTTGGCGTTTAATAGAATGGACACCTTACGATAGATTTTGATATATTAAAAGATGAAAAAGGTGGTTATGATAATATTTATTATGTTATATGGGTTGATGGGCATATTTATGATTGGGATATTAATTACCAACAATGGAAAAGAGTGGTCAACTTAATGTGGAATTATAAATGTTTGATAATGTTGTAGATATAAATGAAGATTTCTTAAATAAGGACTTTTTAGAATTACGAAAGATCCATAAACTTACGAATGTATGGTAGTTTTACGATATTTTATTTAAATAATAAATTTGTTAATGGGAGAAATAAATTATGCTATTTAAATAATTGTGTATTGCAAAAGCTCACCAATGTTGATTGTCACTACCATGCAAAATTACATAATTCTCTGACACCCCCTTTGACCAGAGGTGACAGTCACCACCGATGAGCTTTGGCAATTTTCTAAATAATTTAATTTAGCTAATAATTTTTCAAAATTTCATAAATTACAATTAATTACAGAAAACATAAAAATCCCTCCAAAATACCTTTTCTGGAGTATTAGTCCTTACTGATTTAATTTTTCTTCTGCCCATATTCTTGGTTCATCCCTACATCCATAGGGTTATAGTCTGGATCTCTCTTAATTGAATACGTGTAAATTATTTCTTCAAATCATCGGCATAATGCAAAAGATGGATCCTAAATATTTTTTTAAACTGTTTTCCTTGGTTTTCAGATTCATTAAAAACTCTGTCACGTTTTCTCCGTCATATTTCTTCTTCACCATCCTCTGCTAATACCCATTCTCCTTGTTCTATTAAATCTTGTCCAATTTGTTCTTCTAGTATCATAAGTAAAAAAAATCGTCAGTATTTAAGAGAATAATAATCAGGAATGATTAATACAATTAAAGGAAAAATAGAAAATAATTAAATAATTAGTAAAATAGTGATGTAATTGAATCATTAATCAAAATATGAATCGTTAGTAGAAATAAAATTATCATTGAAAATGAGATGTAGTTATTAAATCTTTAAAAAAAAAATAGATCGAACCTTTAATTATAATATACAAAAGGATTATAGTTAGTATTTAACTTGGTTAAAAAAGATGGTGTTGTTCATTAGCTGCATTATAATTTGGAAACATGCTTCTTTAAAGAACTTTCAAGATCTTTCTGGGAATTAGAATACACGGAAATTCTATTTTTTGTCCATGTAATAAATGAATTAAAAAAAAGCTCTCAATATTGCTATAATTTTTCGAGATATTAAAATTCATATCATTCTATTATCTTGCAGGTAATTATAAAATTTGAATTGATGGATCCAAAAGTAACATTGACCAGTAGCCCTTGTACGAGATTCTTGTTCAAATCCATGACCCTTCATGTTGAATATAATTACTATGCATTGGAAATGGCCTATTCAAATCATTCGATGCATTCAACCATGATGATTAAGAATATCTACTTCTTGCTCAGTTTTGTTGGCTCACATGAAAGTAAATCTGAATCTTGCTTCTCACCTCATTAAGTTTTCTAATATGATATTGATCCTATTTTAAATAGAAATAAATATTTATTTCAATATCATAGTTTTTTTATGAATTCTTAAATTTATCTTATTTCTTATAATAACTCCATTAATGATAAGTTCTAGCAAGTAATCAATAAAATCTATAGTATATCTTCAAATTTAGTTTTGTTTACTGATGTTGTCTTATTAATCTTGAAATCATGTCTAGAAGTGGCTTTTCTTTGGTAAATGATCCTTCCCAAGATAACGTGATCAAGTTATGGTTCAAAAAATTAATTGTTTGCTAGAATAGATAAATTACCATCATGTTAAATGGTGAAAATATTAAATAAAAGCAAATAAACAAGTAAGCAAATATAAAAAAAAACAATAAGGCAGACAAAAGTGGAAGTTGAAATCTTTGAAATCGTAAACTCTCCCAAATAAAAACAACAAAGAATATCATCGATGGGACTTTATTGAAGTGCAAAGAGCATTCTTCTAGTTTGACAAAGGCTTCTCACACTTGCTTTTGTCATTTATTAGAATTATATAAAAAAATAACAAAACTTTCTTTTAATATTCAGCAGCTGAAAAGTGTGTTGATTTGTAGGAAAGAAGAAGATATGTTTAATCACGTTACACATAAATGGTCAATCTAACTCTTAATTTACTATGATGTCTATTCTATAATTAATCCAGTATCCGAACTCAAATCTAATACTTTTTTTTCGACCTGATCTTAATTTCAGATTAATTTATCTTATGTCAATAATCTCATGAGTTGTTCTTGATCGGCCCTTTGCTGTAGGAAGTCATTCCATAGTAAATGAAGCCCAAATAAAGGTCCCCATTATGGGACATTCTTAAAAGATTCAAATTATTTATGGTATCTAAATGTATTGAGATGAACATTCAATGAAAGTCGAGTCGATCAACTGTAACTAAAAGAAAGGCATGGATAGCCTAGAAAAATACAAGTTGTGTAGAGCAAGGTTAATCATAAGTAACAATGATTCTAAGTTAACTTATTTTATATTAATTGTAATTATTATTTATTTAGCCAAAGTCGTTTGTGATAATTTTTATACTTTAAATATTTTTCTTTCTTCGAAATTTACCATTAAATATTCATGTAATTTTAATTGTTTTTAAATAAAAGGATTTGTAAAAAAATGTATTCTTCTGATTTTTATAATTATTGTTGTAGAATAAGAATTAAAAATTGAAAACTTTATTTATCGATCGTGTTAATTAAAATGCATGTTTCGAAACATGACTATGATTTTTATTAAATGTAAAGATTGTACAATAAATTAAATTCGTTTCTTTTCTATTAATTAAACATTAGATAACATAGTCATTTCTTTCAATAAAATTATTTATTCAAAAGTATCATTTATTAAAAGAATATTTTTCTATTTATTCATTTTTTTAATATCATTGTCACAAAAAATATTCGACTTAATTGAATACAAGTGCAAATAAAAAAAGCTTCGATTACTGAAATTTTATTGTAACAATTGAAATTATTTTAATTAAATTATCGAATTAATCAAATTATTGAATTAATTAAATTAATTGAATAATCTAAATATTCATTAACGAGAATTTCGATTAGAATTAAGATACAAAAAAAAATTCATAAATATTAGGGTTAAGGGTTGATCTATCCGTTCACATGAATTCTATGTTCAGATCTTTATCCACATGATTATATGTATGTAGATCGAATTCTATGTAGATCAATAAATTACACTTTATCTGCTGAGCTTGCCAAGGAGAACATGTGCTTTGTCCGGCCTCATTTTCTCTAAGTGACACATGAATTCTGTGTAGATCAATAAATCACACGTTCAGATCTCCATTCACATGAATTCTATGTAAATCAATAGATTTCCATGCACATGAACTCTATTTACTCTATTTAGATCAATAAATCACGTTATCCACATGTTTTATCAACTTTTAATGCTATTTTTGTTTCACTAAAATTTAGCAACAAAATTCATAAAATTTGATCATTTTACGACTCTGTGGGATCTTTTAAAATCATTAGTTTACATGTAGATCAAAAATCACACGTTCAGATCTTCAATAAAGTCCTAACTTTCAATATTACTATTTTTAACAATAAAATCCATAAAATTGATCCGTTTCACATGCTTGGTAGATATTTTCATTTTTCAATTATTACTTAAATACTACCCAAGTGATTTACACGAAAAATCATATAATATATATATGATAAATGATCAACAAGAATATTTTTAACTATCAAATTAAAGCTCACTGGTGATGACTGTCACCGCAGGGCAAAATTACATAATTCCCTGTTCAACTCCAAACCTTAACTTTGCCTATAAAAATTTAATTTTGCCAGTGGTGACAATCAAGCCGGTGAGTTTGGGAAATTTTCAAAATATTATTACTTCCTTTACTTTGAAAACTTATTAATTTCATCATCATTATTTATTTTTTTTTTAGATATGTATATTAATTTGGAAAATATCGAAACAAAATGTATGCATCTCTAGTTCTGCTTGCCAAAAATGGCCACTAGAAACTTCCATTCGTTTGCCCAGATTCACTAAGTAAACTGAAGCTCCTTACTAATTTAAAGTTGAAATATGTTAAGGCTGTTTCTCAACCCAAAGCCCATTAAACTGTTGGAGTTTCTGCTTTCCTGAGAAAACTTCGCAAGAAACCGGCTACTAGATGGTTCGATTAGTCTTTCGTCTCTATACCCAAATTCGACGATCGATTTTCACATCAGAACCACTATGAGCTTGGAATAATTCACCATCTTTCGGATCCCAACAGATGTGCTCTGACTCAAATCTATCAAAAATTTCCTTATTTGATGATGGTGCTCTTCTTACCCATATTAGCTTTCATTACGTGTCCCCCAAAAATTCGCACATTTTATTAGACTCCTTGGTCCGTTTTCAAGACGGGTTGTTTAAAGCCATCCCATTCTTAGCCAAATTTTTGATTGCCATCACCTAATAGGCATTAGTATCACGACAGCAAGAATCTGTAATCCTCGATCTCAAAGGCTGCTTCACTCAAGTCTATGTCACTCTCCCGAAGCAGAACTACTTTTTCCCAAGTATTTTATAACCTCTGAAATCGATGCTGACCTGCCAAAGAAAAAATGCATCTGACAGATCCCAAGTAAAAAGAGTAACACTTTGACCCTGCCTCTACTCCTGAACTCAAAACCCGCCAAACTAAATTTTCACTAGTACGACTGACTTCTGTCCTTTCCCTTTCAACAATTTCACGTACTATTTAACTCTCTTTTCAAAGTCCTTTTATCTTTTCGTCCAGTACTTGATATTTAGTCTTAGTTGAAGTCTGCCACCCATTTTGAGCTTCATTTCCAAACAATTCGACTCTTAGGAAACGAATATTAGGTATTTCGGTCCGATCATGCATTGGTTCTCACCCTCCATGATGCTTTGTTCCAAAGAAATTAAACCAGACTTCCACACCGATATCTTTCTTCAAATTTAAATTCGACTTGAAAACCAGTTTGATTTAAAATTTGAGCTTTCCTACTTGGATCGCCGTTACTAGGAGAAACAGTTCGTCCTGATTTCCAATCATACCATATCCAAAATAATGACATGAAAGTTCCACCCGAAGTTCAAATATGAGCTTTTATCTGCAACAAATTTAATATACGCTATTGGAAACTGAATTACCTCGGCTGCTGGTACCAGACTCGCCTTCCAATTGTTCCTTGTTAAAGGGATTAAATTTTGATCATTCCATTTATTGAAACTACCTCCCCGTATCGGGATAGGGTAATTTGTTGGATGTGGTAACCGTTTCTCAGACTCCCTCTCCGGAATCAAACCCTAATTTCCCGTTATCTGTTAAAACCATGGTAGGCCTTTATCCTAAAATCAAAAGTTGATGGAGCAGAAATTTGAATTATTCAAGACCATGCGATTCATTAAATTATCATATCATGATTACAAACATTAATACTCATTAAGAAACCCTTGCGGGATATTGGCTTCTTATCTAATAGATGCATCCGTTCTAGAAGTCGAAATTTTTTGGATGCTTTAGCTCTAGAATTGCTTCAGTTATACAAATAGTAAAACGACTATCAAATAAATTATAACCGATTTGATGAGCCATTTGCATTTTAATCTGTATAAAATGTATTATACAAAGACATGCATGGCTGAATATTTGAGAACAAGAATTTCTTTTTTTTGGAATTCCACCCCTCAGAGTGAATTACATACGAGTATCTTCGAAAATTTTCGAGAATTCTCGCTACACTATTTCATAATTGTTCCGAAAAACCTATATCCTTTGGATATGAAATACACACAATTTGCCTTCATATAATATTGAACAATTTTTTTAATTGCCAATATTTTGATTAATTTTCTATTTATCACTTTTGAGAGAAAAAAATTCAAGAATTTTTCCCCCTCACAAAATGATAAACTGTGTCAGTAATTTTTTTTTTAATTAAAAAAAAAATACTCAAAAAAAAAATGGTTATTATGATGGAAAGAATGAATTGAAGAGTAAGCAATACTAATTAATTGTTTGCTCCTTTTTTCTGTTCCTTCTTTCCTCACAAAGTAGTAGACAATGAATTGTTTTCAAAGTTTTGTTGATAAAATTTTATTGAAACAAAACATTTAGGAAAGGACAATAAACATGTGGATTATTCACAATTGGATTTTATTTTTAGTTTTTATTTATTAATATCTTGTAAAAAATCAATTTATAAATAATAAAAATGATAAAAGTTTAATTTCATTTATTTTATTTCACTTCATTTATTTAAATTAATTTTAATTATTTATAAAAAAATTTAAATTTGATTTTCCTTTTCATCGTCATAATGATAATTAAAGTAATAAAATTATAATAAAATACATTTAATGTTATATTTTTATTACATAAGAAGAAAATGTAACAAATGCTATACTTTAGATGTTAAACTATGTATGTGGATACAGTAAATGAAATAAATAAAATAAATACAGAAATCAAATCACTTATTCATCTAGATATCTTCATTTCAGCAACTAAAAAATATCGAATATGATTATTAGCAACCAAAATGAATCTTAGTAAGTGTGACAAGGAATGGAAAATAAAAGTAGTGAACATGGTTGAAATAATAAATTAAAATATGATTAGTGACGAATATTTGGAATTTTTAGAAGATTAAGAATTAAATTAAAAATGTGGATTACGATTCCCTTTTCTTATCATACGAAATACATATATGCATTTAGAATTAAATTATAAAATTAATATTCAATAAAAACCGGAAAAAGATTTCTAAACAATTCAATTCTAAAAATAATAAACAATCAACTACTTTGTGAAGATATAAGACTGAAGTGAAAAATTATGTTTGAAGATACTTGATCTTTAATTGATACACTGTAAAGGACGATCATAAATATCTTTTACTTGAGGATACCTATTAATAATATTATTAAAATAAATAATAAAATTATAAAAGGTATTAATTAATTATAATTATAAAGAAATTGGATTTTTATTTATATAATGTTTCTAAAAATAAATATCCATTTTTCTATTTATTCTTTTACCCTTTATGTGGATCAGGATCAACGGAAAATCATGTCTCTGCGGATCTGGATCAATAAAAAGTCATGTTATGTGGATCTGGATCAAATGAAATCATTAGTTCACGTGTTCTATCGCTTCTTAATAGTGTTTTCTTATATAAAAATTTTAACAACAACAAAAAAACGTTTTCAAACCTTCAACTATTTTGTGGGGAAAAGAGGAAAAGAAGGAAGGAGCAAATAGTATTAAATTACTATATTGCTTACTTTTCAATTCATCCTTTCCTTTACAAATTAATTTTTTTTTGATTTTTTTTTTATTAAAAAAAAAAATTAAAGACGTATGTAAGAAAAAATTCTGTAAAACATATAACCACAGAATCTTCTGGCCGGGGAGATTCTGTAAAAAAAAAAATTCTGTAAAACAAATAACAACAGAATCTTCTGGCCCGGGAGATTCTGTAAGAAAAAATTAAGTAAAACATATAACCACAGAATCTTCTGGCCCGGGAGATTCTGTAAAACGGAACGGAATCTTCATGATTCCATATAACTACAAATCTTTCTGGTTGGAGAGATTCTGTAAAACGGAATCTTTATGATTCCATATAACCACAGAATTTACTGGCTGGGGAGATTCTGTAAAACGGAATCTTCATGATTCCACATAACACAGATCTTCTGGCTGGGGAGATTCTGTAAAACGGAACGGAATCTTCATGATTCTATATCACAACAGAATCTTTCTGGTTGGGGAGATTCTGTAAAACGGAATCTTCATGATTCCATGTAACCAAAGAATCTTCTGGCTGGAAAGATTCTGTGATGAGATTCCGCGATGTATTGTGACAGAATCTACTGGGTGGATTCTGTAAGGAATTTATGAGGAATCAAGTTATAATGGTTATGCTCAGTAGGTTCGATAGGTTCGATTTATTGGAATTTTCAAGGACAAGCTCACGTCCGAAAATGAGCAATAGACAACCTCAAGGGGTTTTGCCTCGGGTCTATAAAAGAGTGTGTGGTTGTTAGACTAGCTCAAGTCTAAAAAACAAAATGAGCCGACTCCCTACCTCAAGAGTTTTTAAATTGAGTGATAAGACTAGCTCAAGTCTTTTTTTAAAAAATGAGCTATAGACAAGACGCTCTAGTCTTTTAAATGAGCAAGAGACTAGCTCAAGTCTTTTAAATGAGCTATAGACAAGACGCTCTAGTCTTTTAAATGAGCAAGAGACTAGCTCAAGTCTTTTAAATGAGCTATACA